TTTTTGTTCGTCACCTTCTTCCCTTAAGCTCTCATCCTGTTCTGGGTCGCTGGGTTCTGGCTTTGATGCACAGAGGTGTTACACGCCCCACCCACCCCAGCTGCCGATGTCCCATCCAAAGCTGCCTTGGAGTCCACGTGGTGCTTTTACATGTCCACAAAACAATCCTGGACCCTGTGACTGATGGGAAGGCTTGAGTCAGAGCCAACCATCAAGGTAGAGACAGAGGCAGGTGATGAAACCTTGGGCACAGCTCATATGGCTGCCAGCCCCAACCGTCGAGTTCCAGGAGACTGTCCTGAGGGACTGCCTACCCTCCACATAGAGCGGGAAGCCGGAGACGGGACTCTGACATGAGCCTTCCTACTTCCCCTCCTTTCTCTCCTTTGTTCATCTGCTCACAGGGGTTCGCAATGCTCGTCCATTAGATGCAATGGCAAATGCCTGATGCCCCAGTCAGAACGCTCTGCCTGTGGCTGCGGGAGTGGCGCTGGTTCCTGCCCCTCCCTGCCTGCACCTTGCTTGGACACAGCAGGCTTCCAGGGAGTCTTGACTGAATGGAACTAAAGAGAAATCTTTGGGGACACCCTGCGGTCTCTGTGTCCTTATTCTGCTTCCTGGGACCCGACTTTCTGTTTCTTTTTTTCTGTATTTTGAGACAGGGTCTTACTCTGTCACCCAGGCTGGAGTGCAGTGGGGCAATCTGGGCTCACTCCAGCCTTGACCTCCCGGGCTCAAGCGATTCTCCCACTTCAGCCCCCCAAGTAGCTGGGACTACAGGTGCGCACCACCACACCTGGCTAATTTTTCCAGTTTTGGTTTTGCCATGTTGCCCAGGCTGGTCTTAAACGCCTGGGCTCAAGTGATCCACCTGCCTTGGCCTCCCAAAGTGGGGGGAATAAAGGCATGAATGAGCTGCTGTAGCCAGCCCTGTTCTGGTTCTTTCCCCAGGTTCATTCAGGGCTCGGTGGTGCAGACTCCCTATGCTTTCTACCACTGGCAGTGCATCGACGTCTTTGTGTACTTCAGCCACCACACCGTCACCATCCCTCCGGTGGGCTGGACCAACGCTGCCCACAGGCATGGGGTCTGTGTGCTGGGTAAGAGCCAAGGACTCACCTCTGTGTCAGCCAGACTCCTCAGCTCACCAGCCAGGGGACCCCGTGATTAGGAGGCGCAGGCTTTGCCTCCTTCTCAAGTGCACAGAGCCCCTTGCTGGGGGCCGCCTCGGTTGGTCAGGACAGGCATTTGCAGGATTTTTCTGGAAAGGACCAGACAGTATTTTCAGCGTTTCAGACCCGTGAGTCACTGTGGTGATTATTGGAGTGACAGCAGGTAAACAAATAGGCAGGGCCGTGTTCCAGTAAAATTGCATTTACAAACACAGGTAGTAGTGGGCATTGGCCCGGGGCCCCGGTTTGCGGATTCCTGGGTCAGAACAGTGCTTCTCAGGCTTTAGCCTCAATCCCAGTCGTTGATGGGCTTCCATCACCAGGATTGCTGGTCCCCATCAGCAGAGTGTTGGATTCACGGGATATATGGGGATTTTAATGTCTACCAAGTGTCAGGTGATACTGAGGCTGCTGGTTCCAGAACCTCACTTTGAAAACCAGCAGGTCAAGGGACGGTGATTCCCGTGGCTGACCTTGTTTCTCTCCTGTCCTCACAGGGACTTTCATCACGGAGTGGAACGAAGGGGGAAGGCTCTGTGAAGCCTTCCTGGCCGGGGACGAGCGCTCGTACCAGGCAGTGGCTGACAGGCTGGTCCAGATCGCGCAGTTTTTTCGTTTCGATGGCTGGCTGATCAACATCGAGAACTCTCTGAGTGTGAGCGCCCAGCCCTCACCCACCTCCCCGCCCCTTGCTGTGTTGCCGCCCACCTCCACCTCTTTCCTTCCTTGGCCTCACCTCGCCCCACACCTGGGCTGCAGGTTGCAGCAGTAAGCCATTTCTCGCCTCCCAGGCAGTGCCAACTCCGAAATCTTAGTTACTCGCAGTGAGAGGGAATCTCCTC